GCGGGGAAGATGCACAAAGCAAAAACAAAGACAACGCAAAGGGCCGTAACCAACAGAAACTGGTGAGTGTGTATGCCAAGGTCAAGGGCGGGCAGTGGGGGTGGAAGGCTCAAGGTGGCTGTGAAGCTGAGCAAAGGACTGGGGTCCCTCCAGCTGAGCTTAGCCAGGACTCTAGCTCTCCCACATGGTGGCACCTCGGGGGTGCAGGGGGGGTCAGCGGGAGGGGGCTTGTGGTTGGCTGGGTGGTCACTGGTCCTCACAGCTTGGCAGACCCCCACGTGGTACCCTTGTCCCTGAAGGTGGTGGTGGCTGTGTGGCAGGTCTGTAGTGGCTTCATCTCCCCCTCTCCCCTCCTCCCACTTGCAAAGTAGTGGCTGTGCCCTGGGCGGAGGGGCTCCATCAGGCCAGAGAATAGATGGCGTTGACAGGTGACGTGGCCTCCGAACTTTCATTGCCCTCTGTCTCCTCCTTGTCCTTTTTGACCGTGTACTGGCCGATGAAGGAGCCGTCCTCATTGAACTGCCCCTCGCCACCCTCGCCATAGTCCACCAGGCTGTCGTCACTCTCCTGTTGCTTGATGGTGCCGTCCAGGGACGTCTGGCTGCCCTGCAGGGGCTTGTTGTCCTCATCACTGGCCGGAGAGAGACAGAGAATCAGGGCCTGGCCCAGCCCGGTGCGGCTTAAACCCACGCGGGGCGGAACAGGGCCGCTGGCCTCTTGCCAAGCCTATGTACTACACAGCTCAGGGAGGGTAGGACCTCAGAGGTCATCAGTCAACTCCCCCCGGCCCTCCCCTGCCTGGCCGGTTGACAGAAGGGAGCCTGAGGCCTGGAGACGACAGGCGTCTTCCCCAAGCTGAGGCGACAAGTTGGTGCAGAGCTGGGCCTGGAGCCCACATTTCTTTTCTTTCTTTCTTTCTTTCTTTCTTTCTTTCTTTCTTTCTTTCTTTTGCCGGGGATTATGATTTTAATTTTTTTTTTAATTTTTTTTCAACGTTTTTGGGACAGAGAGAGACAGAGCATGAACGGGGGAGGGGCAGAGAGAGAGGGAGACACAGAATCCCTCTGAGCCATCAGCCCAGAGCCTGAGGCGGGGCTCGAACTCACGGACCGCGAGATTGTGACCTGGCTGAAGTCGGACGCTTAACCGACTGCGCCACCCAGGCACCCCATGATTTTAATTTTTTATGGAGCCCACACTTCTGGACACACTTCAGGAGGCTGTGCTACTCTCTGGGGTAGGAGTGGGCAGAGGACAGCCACCCCAGAGCGAGGAGAGTCGTGTGCTTGTCAGACCAGGCAGGGCCAGAAGGGTCAAGGAGCTGGGGCCCCAGTCGCACGTGCGTCACTGCGTGGCTCTGTGGTCTTGGGAAAGCCTTTCCTCTCACTGGGCCTTAGTCTCTCCATCAAGAGGGGCTGAACTAGCTTTGAATCTCTGTGATCTGTGTGGCTCTGTCTACAAAGGCTCTGTCCTTGACAAGAAAGCAGTGGGCCGGGGCCACTGAGAAACAAACCTCTCCCTGCCTCTGCCCTTCTCGTCTTGGTGTGGTTTCTGTCGGCTCTCTGGTTTACCAGCGAGCAGGTGCTCTTGCCTGGGGGCAAGCGAAAGAGGGTGCAACGCGGGGAGGGGCACGCACACGAGCGTGTGTCGCCAGCAACTTGAGACAAAGCCCGGCGAGTCTCAGGGGGTCCTGCCCAGCCTCCTTGGAGGCCCCCGGGTCCTGCCCCTCAGCCCCTCCTGGGCAAGGGGAGCTGGCAGGCTGGGGGCTAAAGTGGCATCTCTGGGGCGCCTGGGTGGCGCAGTCGGTTAAGCGTCCGACTTCAGCCAGGTCACGATCTCGCGGTCCGTGAGTTCGAGCCCCGCGTCGGGCTCTGGGCGGATGGCTCGGAGCCTGGAGCCTGTTTCTGATTCTGTGTCTCCCTCTCTCTCTGCCCCTCCCCCGTTCATGCTCTGTCTCTCTCTGTCCCAAAAATAAATAAAAACGTTGAAAAAAAAATGTTTTAAAGTGGCATCTCTACCCGCTGGGATGCCTGCTGTGCCCCGCCCCCCGGAAGTGAGACACCCCCAGCAGCCAGTGTCTGCTCAAGCGCCACATCCCCTCCCTTGGCTGCAAAACTCTCTGCCCTTTTGGCTCGGAGGGGGTCCAGGTGCTGCTGGCTGCACTTCAGAGGGGAGACGGCCCCCCCCGCAGGAGGCAGCCGGGCCACCAGCGGGAATCTGGGTCCCGGCAGGCGGGACCACAGTGGTGCCAGGCGGTATGGGCAGACACACAACGTCCCCTCCCTGGCCCCCGGGCCACGCTTAGCCCTTTCTGGACGTGTGTGGAAACAACCGGCTGAGTTGCCATTATAGTCGGCACTGCGTGTTGGCTTCTAACGGCAGTGCTGGGCAGGGACAGCTGTCAGGGGAGGGTCTGGAGCCAGAGCCTGAACTGGGTGTTAGTAGATGGAAAGCTATTAGCCCGCTCCCTCTTGTGCTCCATGAACTCCGCCTGCCTTCTCCGATGGCAGCGCTACGGGAGAGGCGGGCCTAGTGAGGCAGGCAGGTCTCTAGGGCTAACCTGAGTCTCGATGGGGAGTGGGGCTCACGTTTTGAAATGAGCAGCTTCTAATTACTGGGTTCTTGCCCCATTCACCGACCTTTTTCACATGTACTCCTTCCCAGGAGCGTGGGGATTGTGTCTATGTGCTTCTAGGGGATTCCAGGGACCTAAGCCAAATGCGGCCAATGGCCCAGCTCGGGTGGGAGGCAGAGGGAGGGGTTCTCGGTGTGTCAGATTCTTGTGGAGAATGAGGATCTCAAGCTGGGAAGAAAGACCTCTTCTACGGGAAGCTCGAAAGGAACCAGGATGACAGGGGGGCCCTAGACACCTGTCTGCCCATCTTCCCCGAGACCCTGGAGAAACAGGTGGGCACACGAGGCAGAGAGAAGCAGACCCACCAGAGAGGTGCTTCACTGCTGAGCCCAAACCGAGGCGCGTGTGTGCGTGGTGTGTGGGCCCGTGGATGCATCTGTGTGTGTATATCCAGCCTCAGTGTGGGTGGGCCAGGGGAGCGGGTGGGGAGAAGGCAGGTGTTCTTGCCCAACAGCTTTGGTGTCTGGGGGAGGAGAGGCGCCTGAGGAAGCAGCTTCTCATAGCACAGGTTGCCTGGCCCTGAATACGAGGAGGGCCTCACCCGTCTTCTATGGCTGCGCTGAGGGTCTGGGGGAGGGAAGTTCCATGTCCTTCAGAACTGATGGCCAGGGAATAGCTCTCAGCCCCTGGGGAAGATGGGCCCCAGGAGGGGTGCTGAGGACAGTCAGGGGAGGGGCCTCTCGTGTTTGCCCTCGTAAGAGGCTCTTGGAGATGTCGGGACTGGATGGATGGACGTTCGTAAGCGTCCAGATGGACTCCTGGGTGGGCAGTGTCTTTGCCGCCCGTTGAGCTGACTCTGCCTGTCCGGCTGCTGCTGAGCACGGTGGCGGAGGCCGAGGATAGGATAAGGAGAGGTCAGGGGAAGGCGGGGTGATGTCACCCCAGGGAGTAACAGGGTGGGGGTGGGGAAGCAGGGCTCCGATCAGAGCATTTCCTTCCGCCCACCTTGGTCTGGGAATGAGACTCCAGGACCCGCCCAGCATCTTTCCTTAACTCAACGTACATTTGCCATCAAAAGGGAGATTACAACTTTGTCACGCCCGATATGAAGGCCCATCCAGGTCTGATGGGGGTTGTGATGTTGCCCACTAGCAGTAACTGGAAGTCGGGCCCCTGGCTTCTCCAGCTGTGCCACCAGCTCACTGGGTGGCAGATGTGGGTGGGCGTCCTGGGCAGGTCACTTCCCTGCCTGGGCCTCAGTCCTCTGATTTGAGACGGGCACTGGCCAGAGGCCTCTCCAAGGCCTGTTCGGGGCTAGAGCCCAGAGATATCATTCAAGTTCATGAGGAAAAGGTCTAGAACCTCCCCACCCACCACATCTAACACTACCCCTCATTTCTCACGGAGTTGAGCTCTCAAGACAACGTCCATTCCCCGGGCGGTTGTCTACAGGGTCAGGGTGGGGGTGTGGGCAGAGAGAAAGCCAACAGCTCGTTTCGTAGCAAGGGGGTTCCCAGCATGTGCTCTCGCAGTAAAAAGGTGAAAACATACAAATAAGGAGCTCGAAAAAATCTGAGTTGTGCAGCTGAATGAATGAAATGCTGTTCCTCAAATCAGCGTCGGTCTTGCCTTCAAGGAGGCAGCCGTGTCCGGCGCCATCAGGACGAGCAGAGGCCGTCCGAGAGGCAGAAGTGACAGACCAATGGATGACAAGGGGGCAGTGAGGACAGCCGCCTACCCGACGCGGGGGTGACCAGGAGTCAAACAGATCACACACCTGTAGTCAAAGGAGCCATCCTCTTCCTTGGGGTCTTCAGGGCCAAGGGGAACATCCTTCTTTTCTCGCACTTGGTCGGTAAGAGAAGCAAAGACACAGACACGATGATTATGCCTCTGCTCCTTGGGACCCTGACTGCACGGTCAAGGCACCACCTCTGGGCTCAGCAACACTCTCCCTCTCAACGAGGCGCCATCAATGCCTCCCTCGTCCTTCCCTGGTTTCACCGGGTGTCAAGTTCATGGCGCCACTGCTTCCTCATGGCTGCGGTTTCTGCACATCTCCACTGGCAGCTGAAATGTCCTCCCACCTGGCTCCCCACCACCTCTCCGTGAGGTTGGCCACAAACACCCAATGGATGCGACCCTCCCTTGGTCTGCCCTCTCTTATCATAATTTGTGTCTGTCTCTTAAAAGCCCCTAGCAGAGTGCCCTGGGCAGAGGGCAGAGGGCCCTACGCTCCGTACGCACCTTCAGGAATGGAAAATGCTTTCACATCTGTGACCTCACTTGTTTGTGCAACTCCCTGTCCCTATACCTCCTGTGTGATTTTGTACACACCCCTCCAAGGCCCTGTTTCATGCTGTGACGTTCCTTCTGTGCCCAATGCAGTGTGTTGAGGGACCGATCATCTTTCTTCTGGTGTCCTGAGCACTCAGCACAGAGCCTGGCACACAATGGACACTTACGCGGATGGCTCTTTATGTATCCTTCCTGAGGTACAGGGCAGGAGAATCGCCCCATTTAAGGAGAGGGAAACTGAGCCCTTGGAAAATGAAGAACATGTCATATAACTAATTAGTAACTGAATAAAGTCTAGAGTGAAAGCTAGAGCCCAGGCCTCATGGTTCACTCATCTTTCTACTGGACCAGGGCCCTACCCTGTATCTGGAGGGAAGGCAGTAAGCCTTGAGAGCTTTCTGGAATGGAACACTTTCTACACGGGCAAAGGACGGCTCAGAGTTTATCTGATGCGTGGGGGGTTGGGGGTGAGCTCAGTAAGGCCGTTCTACTCCGACTGTAGAGCTTTCTCTCTTATAGAAGAAAAACAATCCCCACGCAGCACAACCAAGTGAAAGAAAACGTCATTTGCCAATGAAGAATTAGAATTTCCTGCCCTTCCTCACAAACAGACATGTGCCTCACTTCAAGGAGATTCTTTAGAATCCTGGGGTCTGAGGGAATGTGGGCAGGGGAAGGAAATAAAAGAATCTTCTCTCTGAGTTGAGTTTTAGGGGGCCCCCGGAGGAGGACTTGTTTAGAGGCCGGGAGAGGCAGGCATTTGGGGAGCACGGGCTGTGCTTTAGGGGGCAGGGAGTAATTTCATTTTGCAGACCAGCAGGATTTTCACTCTCTGGGTCATCCATTATCCTGTCTCCTGTCATCCTACCCACCCCCTCACAGACAGATGGCTTTCTTGCCCCTGTTTGAAAAACAATCAATATTTCCAGAAGCACGAATGCCAGAGGTCCTTGTCCTTGACCTTGGTTTGTCTGGGCTGGTGGTTCTTGAGGCCCCCAGAAGAGAAATGGCGCTTTGGGACTCTCTGGGAAGCCCCAAGCTCCTTCAGGACCGAGGGAGTCTGTATCACGCAAGCCACCCCTCAGCCTCTGCCTGCCCTTCACGCAGGAGCTCCTGAGCCTCTGTTGGGGTATCTGTCATTACAGCCCAGTGACCGAGAGCCTCACGGGTGTGCTTCTTCCCTCCAGACCCTCCCCTCTCCATTCTCTCTCTCGCAGAGAAAATACCTTTCTTCCTTCCTCCTTCCTTGGGACACAGGATCCTAATGGGATTCAGGTTGAAACAAGTCAATTTGCTAAGCAGATGGATGGTGTGCCAAGGGGAGGGAAGGTCATTCTTAATAGGAGCCAGCGTTCCTTCTAGCCCCTCTTTGGAGCTGCCTGGACCACGCCGTCCGCCCACCTTGGGCGAGCTTAATTAACTCAAGTGCTCTCCGGCACCTCTCAGATGCACAGACCAGGCGGGAGGACTGTACGTCCGAGCTCGGCAGGGGTTGGGCTCACGGGGAGAACAGAACCCCCCCCCCCCCGGACCTGGCGGCTCCCAGGAAAGCCTGCCGGCCCCACCCCCCCAAGCCCACTCGCCTGTTACATCTTACCTGGATACTTGCCACCTCGACTTCTCTTGATGAAACAGACAATGAGCAGGATCAGTACCAGGAGGGCGATGGCGCACATGAGCCCGATGAACCAGCCCTGGGTGGCGATGTCCGCCTGGTTGTTGGTGTAAGCTGGTGGGGGAGGGAGGGCCGGAAGCAAACACGTGAATGACTTCCCACGGGAGAAGGTGAGGAGGGGAAGGTGAGGGAAGAACGGCTATTTCACGTCGATGTTCCTCCTGGAGCCTTATGCTACCACCTAGCAGCCCTCTGGCCCAAACTACCCCACAACAGGGACAAAGAGAAAATAATTAAAGAGCCAAGGTCAGAAGGTCAGAAAAGAGGCACAGGAAAGGGGTAGAGGGAGCAGAAATAAGCAGCAGAAGGCTGAACAGGTCCTTCAGGAAGGGAAAGTGTCCTAAGGACGGGGCATGGGGTTCTTGCAACCCAGACGGCTGGTCACAGCCCTGTGGGGACTGAGGGAAGGCCGGGATCGGCCCCGGAGGTACGATTCCCCGCGGACGAGCTTGGGGTGAGGAAACGGGACTCTGCTACCCACCAGGGAACGGGGGCCATGGTTAACATGGCAAAAACCTGTCAGAAGAACACCTTCGCAGGCCTGCACAGGCACAGGACGGCAACCTTTCCCACCAACCTGGCCCCAAAGCCAACCGGGCTTCTGGGCAGTGGGTCTGGGCAGGGTGTGGCTCCAGGATGCCCTGTGCCTTCTCACGCTCCCCCAACTGGATCGGGCGCTCCCTGACAGCAGAGACAGTCCCTGTGCGGGTACTCGGATGGGCTGGCGGCACGGTGGGGGCCGGGGCCGTGCCTCCAGCGTCCAGCCACTTGCAAGCCATTTCCAACGCGTGGAGGTCCCCCCCGCCCCCGCCACCAATCTCCATGACAATGAGTCCCTCTCTGTCCCTTCCCAGTGCTCGTGAAGACATGTCCCCGTGTGGGCTGACCCCTTCACAATCCAAGGGGCACTTGGGTGGGCCAAGAGGACAGCAGCTCAGGTGTCCTCTGCAGGTATTCTGGATGACCCAACGGTTGGCATGAGGGTTTGGGAAGGGGTGTGGCGTGGGCAAAACCCACTCACCCTACTCCTTTCTGTGGATTAGAGAACAGCAGCGGCTCCCAGCCTGCCACGGAAACCGAGACTTGGGAGGAGCGGCAGGATCCAAGCAACTGAGCCAACTCAAAGTAGCCCCGGGACCAGCCTGGTGAGCCGAGGGGCGTCTCACAGAGCCAGGTGACAGCAGGGTCCCAGAGAGCCCATGGAGCCCCGGGCCAAGGCACGGGACCTCCTCCTGGGGACGAGCACGAGGAACAGAGGGGTGACCAGGAGCCCTCATGATCCAGGGTCTCCATCACATGCTTTTTTGTGGGGGAGGGGTCTGGGTGCGATCCTACCCTTTGCTCTTCCCGGGCACAGAAACTGTCTTTAGAGCCTTCTCTGTGCCTGGGCAAGGGAATGCACCAAGAAGAGGGTGGACAAATGGGGCAGACTGACAAATAAGTGCTTTCGTGCTCTCTGTGCTCTGGCTGCCCTGGCGTGATTACCCGATCTGTGTATGTTGTGCGGGGATGGCCCATCCCTCCCACCCCTACCCCTGCAGGCTCTTCCATGAAAGGTGCTAGAGAGATCCTCCCCAAGCCCCTCAGAGGAGCAAACCACTTCCTTGCTTCAACCCTCCAATGCTTCCCATTGTTACTGGGTGAAAAGCTAGATTTCTGTCCTGTCCTTGCAGGCCCCACCCAAGCTGGCCCCGGACATTTCTCCAGTCTGGTCTTCTACCCTCACTCCTCTAGCCACACTGGCCACTCATGTCCCTACCTCAGGGCCTTAGCATCTGCCGCTCTTTCTTCAGATGGCCGCCTCGGCAAATGTCACCTCCTCTTAGAAAGGCCTTCCCAGACCTTCACAGCTAAAGCCAAAGCCCCCTCCCCCAACCAGCCACTCGGGGTTTCTCTCTCTCTCACAGCACCTGTTCCCACCGGATACGGTCCCACTATCACAGTGCACACTCAGAAGCACCTCCTGTGGGCTAGTCACGGCTCTGAGTACGTCTCCACCCAGCATCTAATTCGATCCTCACAATCCCATCAGGTAGGCTTTATTAGCTCTATTTTACCGATGAGAAAACTAAGGCACAGAGATTTTACGTGATTTGCTCAAGGCAAAGAGCTCGTAAGCTACGTGTTCCTCGACTGGGCCTTTGCTGCTGCCCGCCCATCTCTCCATCCCCCTCTCACCATCCTCCCACACTGCTCCTCCCTCTCCGCGCTGCCCCACACTACCCTCTCCCTGGGTGGGCAGCTTTCCCCCTTCCACTCAGGTGACCACCGAAACCTCAGAGTCTCCACAGCTGTCCCTTCCTCCATGGCACTGGTGGCAGCTCTCCCTTCCTGGGTGGCTCAGTCCTAGAAGGACGTCAAGCCCTCCAGCATCTTCCTCTTTGCTGCCTCCTCCCTTCTGCTCTTAAATACAGCGAAGCTTCCAGCATCTTAAAAGAAAAAGCCTAGAGGCAGCCGCCAGTCTTTTCAGCTCTAGCGCAGGCACTGTCCTTTTACAGGTGAACTCCTTCACCTTGCACGGTCTCCAGTTCCTGTCACCATCTTTCTCCGATCCCGACGGGAAAACCTCAAGCCCCTCTCTACTCAGTGCTTCAACTGCTATCATGGAGTGGGTCTTTCCCCAAATGACCTCTACAGCCTTGGCTCCTCCCCTCACCTGTCCTCCGGTCCTCACTTTCCAACGGGCGATCCCTTTGTTCACCTCGCATTGTCCCTCCAGCCAGTTCTGCAGCTGTAAGCCCAGTGCTCCCAGCTAACATCCTCCCAACATCTCCTCCGGTGCCGTCTGCTTGACACATGGTGTATTATGCTCTCGGGACACCTTTGTCATGTCTGGCCTTCCGGGCACTTGGTTCTTCCCATCCCTGCATCTCCCCCTCCACCCCCCCACACCTATGCCCTTCTTGATCTCTACCTTTCCACATTCCACCCCACCTTCCCGAATCTCCCACTCCTCCGGCTTACAGCAATCTCAGAATTCACCCCTGTCTACTTCACGAAATGTAATACTCAGTTGCTCTGTTTCCTGGGTCCTGATTTCCAACTATACTATTCAAGGCTTGAGAACAGGGGAGTCTTTGAGCCCCCCTAGGGCTTAGCACGATGCTGGTCACATAACAAGTAGGCGGTGAACACTTATGAATGATCAGTTTAATCCTAATTTAATATGGTTAGCTTGGGATACCGACCGGGGTCACTGGGAAATTGGCTTGGCCATGCGCCACACCCCGAGTCTGGATGGTGGTTCCTGTCCTTTGCAGAGCATTTGGTTTGTAGGTGTGCAGTGACCTGTTTGCTCCCCAACAAGCCACCTCCACGAGCCTCTTGGGAGAGAAGGTCACAATTCCAGGGAGAGTGGCCACACGGGCAAAGAATTTTCTGTGAGGTTTGGACACAGAAGCCTGTTCAAATCCAAGTGGGTGTTGTAACTATGAGTAGTGCTGGATGTTAATTAAATTTTTTGTGGAGGTCATTTTGCAATATATACATATATCCTATCATTATATTGTACGCCTGAAACGAATACGATGTTATATGCCAACGATATCTCAGAAAGAACCCAAACCCAAACCCAAACCCGAACCAAATGGGATCTAGGGTAAGGTGGGTTCAACTGGACCCCATCAAAATGATTTAGTTTCTCAAGTACCGAGAGCAATTTAGGAACAGATGATCTCACAGAGGACGTGACCCGACAGAGTGGACTCTGAGAGACGGAAGGCACTGTAGGGAGGTTTCAGGGTATTACATTTGGCCGCCGACACCATTCTTAATCGATCTGTTCAACGTGTTTCAAGATTCCTAATGGACACAGTAATGACAACGTTCAAAGACCAGGGTGTGCTTACACTCACCACCTTCCGCTGGAACAGGGAGCCAGAACAGCACCTGCTCATCCGGCCCACAACGTCTGGCCAACTCAGGTCCAAGTGCCTCTGACTCTAGACCAGAGGCCGTATTTTGTGTGCCTTCCACACCACCCCCTACAAGACTGCTCAGCAATGGGCCATTCGTCTGCAAGACAGGCAGTTCTCACGACTCAAAGGCCAGTCACTCAACGTCCGCAGAAGAATTACATTTCACAAACAGGGGGAGGTGAGCAAATACAACAGGGGCAGACTTCCTTCAAATGCACTTAGGCTTAGCTGCTCTTACTTAAGGACCATCCGATGCCTCTGTATCACCACCGTGCCCCATCCCGGGTTTCTTCCAAACACAGCAGGAAACTGACCACAGTGAGGTCCCCTAATGTCCCTCCTCCCACTTTCCTGAGGTCTGAGGCAGTCTGCTGTCTGTCCCACTGGCCCACGGTCAGCACCTGCGTGCTGCCACCTCGCCCCACCCTGCTGACCCCAGCCGACCCCAGGACAGAAGAGCTCATGAGCCCCTTAGAGTCCAGGGCTATGTGTGTGTGGCCCCTTGGGTCTCTTTGGCTTTAAAAGCTTCAAGGAGATGATTAACTTTCCATGTGGGATCTTTCCGGTGAGGGTCAGGGAACCAGTTAGCATTCCTCGTGGTTTCCTTCTATTTCCCCCCTGAACCACTGCTGCGTGTCTGGGTCTGTGGACTAAAGTGATGGCCTGTGGTCACCTAAATGACCAGTGGTCGGACCCAGAGATGCTCATAAACTCTTGCTTCGATGAGACCCTGGGACCTAGGGAATCGTGTGAAGTTGGCTTTGGACTCCACCCGCAGGATACACAGCGTGCGTTTTCGAAGAATCCGGACCCACACAGGCACACACAAACTTGAGAAAAGGAACATATTTCCTTTCCCTGTGTGGTTTGCACATAGTAATTTCTAGCCAGCCAGTGAGGTAAGCGAACAATATGTACTCAGAGCTCGGGTCACCAACCCGCCCACCCCGGCGTGCAACCGGAGGAGTCTGGGAAAACTCACTCTGAAAGCAATCTATCAGGATCAGTCTCTCCAGACCAACCACAGGAAAAGAGAGAAGAACACTGAGTCAATGTTCAGAAGTGTATTATCCATCATCTTTTTTTTTTCCTCCCTGTACCGCATGTTTGATACCTAGAGGCAGACTGGGACATCCCTGAGGGCGGGGACTGGCCCTTTTCTCCCCGGTTCTTTCTCTTCAGCCCTCACTCTCAGCCCCAGGACTTAGCCCCGGGAGAAGTCTAGAAGCAGACTGCACTGGCTTTCGTAACCTTCCCTAGGAGGCGGTTCCAGGCTCGAACCTTATCTGTGCCTCCTGCCTCTGTGCTGGACTCAAGTTGATAATGAAGCAAAATTAAACGCACGCGCCGATGAGCAAGAGCTTGAGACCCCGACTGGGTCGGGCAGAGCCCAGCCACCTGCTCTACTTGGTCAACTGTCCAGTTCCCTTGCCTGGCTCCCAAGCTGGCCTGGCCCCTCGCTCAGACGTCCTGCCTGAGTTGGCTGGGCTAGCCTCAAGCAGGCAGCCGGACTCAGACTCCCTGAGCCTTGACAGCATGAACGTGGGCAGGATAGGCCGGAGGCATGGGGAGGAGGTTGGAACGTCCAGACCAGGAGGGACCAGGCTAGAAGGGGTGGAGTGAGACATTTATACAATTGGGTGGTGAATCTCAAGATGCAGGCTACCAGGATCAGCCTGGCCACAGGAAGAGTAATGAATAACGGAGCCAACATTCATAAGGTCATATGAATCATTGTGTGTTTCTCCCCACCCCCGCCATGCTCATATCTCCTAACCTGCACCTGATTAGGACATCCTGGGGGCAGGACCTGGTCCCTTTCTCTCTTTGGCTCTTTCCCCCCACCTTCACCCTTTGCCTCAGGGCTTAGCACGGCCACCTGCCCGGCTGACCGTGAAGATACACACAAACAGATGAGCAGGTGGCCTCAAGTCTCCAGACTGCCTACCCGCCCAGACCTTATACCATTTACTGAGCCCCTAGTGACCTGTTCATTTGGCACACTGAGGTTGCTTCTCTAGCTACAGCCGAAGTCCCTTTTGAGCCAGGACTATCCTCCTCCTGGAGAGCTCCTTCCTCTTCCCCAGCATGACAGAAAGTCAACTACTTTTAAGCCATGGCAAACTGGGGACAAAAAAACTAAACCAGGATAAAGCCCCGAACAATTCATGTCACATACTTTGGAACTTTTTTTTTTTTTTTTTAAACAGATGACAGTGGCAGGGCAGTGACACACATGCCGATCCTGGGAAGATTTCTGGGTCAAGACCCTTGGTGGCCCTATCCCTTAATTCCACGTCCTGTGCGCACAGGGCAGGCTGCTCTGCACTCCGGCAGCCCCCAGACCGACTCGCAGCGCCCACGATCGCACACACACCAAGCCCTCGTGTTGCCGGCACAGCCAGGGGGCCAGGCGGCCTCCTCTGTCCTCGTTTCCTTCTGACTCCCCATGCGTCGCCACAGGGTCAGAAGGGCACTCTCCACTTCCGCTGTGCATGCACTCTGGCTCCTCCTGGCTTTCTGGGAGCTGCGGACTGACTAAGAGCTGAGACACGCCATGCAAGGTGGGGAATGGGTGGGATGAATCTTCTTTCCAAGGAGAAGAGACAAGCAGGAAGCTGAGGATGGAATGAAATGCCCCATGCTTGCAGGGGACGGCCAGGCCAGATCCCCTCTCACCTGTACTGGTCATAAAGGTGATGACGGTACTGCTGATGCCCTCGTTGTCCCGGGAATAAACGCGCAACGTGTATGTCATCCCGGGATAGAGGTCTGTCAGCTGTATAGGCTGGGCCTGGGCCTTAACAGGGACAGTTTTTTTCGTATGGTTGCCTGGGGAACAGAAACCTCAGTCAGCCTAGGGCCAGGCAGGAGGAGCTGGGGAGGCAGTGCTTAGGGTCCTGGTCACCTGTCAAAGGCAGAAGCGTGGGGGATGGGGCCGGGCCATCGCGCAGACTAGGAGGTCACCAGGCAGCGCCACCAGCCCTTCCACGCGACGCTGACTCTCCTACGTGACGACCCTTCAGCCAACGGCACTATTCTTTCTCAAGCCTTCTTCCCCCACTACAGCCTTGGCACTAAACGTGATGACCTACTTCCTGCTCCTACAGAGCATGTCAGTGAATGCTCTGTTGTCCTGGGGGTGACAAACTTCCCGCGTGGGAGCTTTCTGGTGAGGCTCGGAGAGCCAGTTAGCATCCCTCATGGTAACTGGAGGGGAGGCAGGACTCCAGTCCTTGGCTCTCACTCCTGGTTTCACCTCTCATCTCTTGCTGTGTGGAGAATCCACACCTCAGGAGAAGGGAGCGCCCTTGTTATCGGGGTGTAGGGCGAACGGTGGTTATAGGAAGCTGAAATAGTAAGGGCCAAACTAGGGATGAGAGTCGGTGGATGTGAACCCTTCCGCCCACGGAGAACTAAGACTTGGCTTTGCTCGTTCCTTAGAGATCTTCTGGCTGAGTTAGCTGGTTTAGTTGCTAGACGACAACGTGGTGGGGCTGAGTCCTCAGGAACAGGGGCCTTCTCTCAAAGAAGGAGATACGTTGACCACCCCCTACAGCGTAATGAATATGACCCTTGATCCCAAGATCCAATAAAGAGTGAACAGCTCAGCTCAAGCCACCGGCTCTCTGCGACAAGCGACCCTGGTCTGTGCCTTGGACCGTAGGGCACTGGCATCCCTCTGTGAGCAAAACACAGTGGTACCCAAAGTCTGAACTGAACTAGTGAAGAAACCAGAAACCAGACACTAGTGGATTCTGAGCTAAGGAAAGCCACACAGAGTGAGCTTTGGCTCTTATGGGGGCTGTTCGGAACCCTCATCCTGGGCAGGAAACGGACGAAGGGCCCCACTACCCGGGTCCTCCCCAGCGCATGCAACCCTAGACCTCCACTAATGGCTTCGGAAGCCCTCTTCCTTCTCCTTCGACTGCTGTTCCCACCCCACTGCCGCCTGAGTGCGTATCGATTTCATTAAGTCATAATTAAGCCGGGCTAACAGGCCCCTCTGAGCCTGGGGGAGTTCACAGGATCTCTTTAATGGCATCTACGCTACCCACCGCAGCTGCCGCCGTGCCCCGCTCAGCAATGCTTACTGTCGATGTACTCAACCACAAAGTCAGTTCCGGGCCCGAAATTGTGCTTCCAGGTGATGTTGGCCCATTTACTGTTGGGGAGGACCGTGACGTTCCATATGGACTGCCTGTCGGGGGCTGGTGGGCAGGTTAGAAGAGGGGTTAGTGATGAGGAGACAGGCAGCTCCGGAGACACACGCGTGCACACACACATGCACACACACACACATACACACGCGTGCGCGGCTCGGAAGGGGAAGAGTCAGAAGTGGCTGTGCAGGGGGCCCGACAGCGCTCCAAGCTGCAGCCTTGGTGGCCAGGCCAGAGGTCGCCATCCAGGTACGAGCGGGCGCAGACAGGAGGACCTGTATGTGAGGGAGAGCTGGAAACTGTGTGTCCACACAGGTGGGGGTAGGAATGAAAGAGGGGGTCTTGATCCATGCCATGGGAGGCTCGGACCTGGGCTCTTTCCCTTTTTTGATCCTTTGTCATGGGTTGGAACGGTGCAGTAAAACCTGGACGCCGGGCAAAGCTCCCCTGGCCATCCTACAGACAGAGGGGCAAAGAGGTGCCAGCCTCTCTCCCTTCAGCTACAGACACTCTACAGGAAGGAGAGCAGGATGTTTAGAAACCCCTCAAGAGTCGTGATGTGTAGAAAGCTCAGGACCAAACGTGGGAAAGCCTTACAGGGCTCCTGAACCGGGAGAATGGTAACGCAGACCGGTGATTCGGGAGTCCCTGGGTCAGCACGATCCTGGATTGTGCGGAACATGGCCTCAGATTATTTAAGGGGACTTGGGGTCAACAACCCCAGGGTCCCAAGTAGAGACAGTATGAGCCCCTCCTCTCCCTGAGCCCCTCCTCTCCTTCTCACGGGCTAGGTGGGAACCAAAGAAGAGAACTCCTTCTTGACCCCCAACCCCCAGCGTTTGAGACACCAGAAAAATCCAATTTTTTTTGGCTCCTCAGCACTAAATTGTCTTTCAGGCTTGATCTCCATGCAGTACGGAAGACATTAATTATCTAGTTCCTATGAGCTGGGAGCCACTTTATCAAAGCCACCGCACTGTCTGAAACCATAGCCTGTGGACAGGAGAGTGGCACTAATCTTCAAACGTAATCATTTTTCAAGAGTCCCAGCAGTCTGATTACCCCATTTCCCGGCAAAGATTTAATAGTGGAGTACTAGCATGAAGCCTTGTATTTCAAAGACTTTACAAGTGTGGCTCCTGTATATTTTATTAGCATGCAAGGGGGCACTGTCACTAACTCACTTGTCAAATATAAATGAATAGAGTACATTGGTGATGCATTTATTCATTATCCATTTGACATGTGACTGAGTCTGCAGGGCTGGGGAAGCGATAAAAGATCTCCTGGTCTTTACTTCAAAGGGGGTGGCTTCTCTACTACAACCTTGTCAGTTGCGGGTTGCCCCAGGTGAATGACTCATGTCAGGTGAGGGGCCAAGAAAGAGATTCCACTGATGGCACCACAGGGCATTCTCCATGGGGAGGGCAGAAGATAGGCTTCTTTACTTATCTGCCAGGTGTTTCCATTGTACTGGCGGCTTTAAGCCACCCCAAATCCCAGCTCCTTGGAATCTCACGACTCTTGCTAGTGGGAATGAATTATGAGAACTCATGATTTGGGAACTTGAGCTTCTTCTTCCTCAGCTCTGGGGCCTGGAAATAGCCAGAGAATTTGGGTTTACACAGTTTGGCCACCAATACAATAACTGACCCAAATCTGACTCTCGTAAAGGGCGTGGAGACTGGGGCATGACTGGAGCAGAATGACACAGAGGTGGGAGCTGGGGGAAGGCAGTGCCACTGCTAAAGAACTGAAAAGCTCAGAGAGGAAGACCAAGAAGGAGAGCTATCAATTACTATAAAACACAAAAAGCGTGAGAGGAAGCATGGATTGTTCTGCGGGCTCCCAGAAAGGGAGAATTAGGGGGTATCCCCTGAAATCTGAAAGAGACAAGTTAAGGCCAAATAAAAAGCCCCGTTTCACCCTAAAAGAAAGGAAATTCAGGAAACATTGGGTCCTAAGATATAAGACATGAAAAAGCTGAAAGACGGTTAAAAAAATCGTGGCTGGCAGAACCACTCTCCTGTACTGAGGGAAGTGAGGATGTTTGCGGGGTGTCCCCAGGCTCTAAAGATAAATTCAGGGGCACAGGCAGGTCCTCTGCAGCATCTTGGACAGTTAGAAGTCGCGTGTGAGCGTCAATGGGGCTAGTCCTATGTGGCAGCAAGGCCGATCTTTCCAGAGTGCAGTAACTCTGCTGGGAGGCAAGGTCCAGTCCCCTACTTCCTTCTCTGTGCATCTGTTCTGTGACCTCCAAGCATTCACGGGGACACAGGGCCCTGCTATCATGCAAAGATGCCTCATCGTGGCCCCAAAGAACACCCGACACCAAACTACCGGTGGGAGCTTCTGATGGCCTGCCAGGCTTCTCCTCAGCCAACGTCTTCCTAAAGTCTGTATTGTTTCAATTCTGGATATTGTATCTTTAAAGCAAATCCGTGCCTTCAAGGCCTGAGGAACACCGCGTCCCCGATGTATCACTCGCCTCCCCTTTGGGCTCACGTAATTGAATTAAAGACAATACTCACAGGGTGCATTAAGCCTCCACCCTCATTCAGGTGCTGAGCCGTGAGGCCTCGGAAGGTAAAGGGACTTGCCCAGGACGCAGAGGGGTCTACAGTCCTACAGCTGCTGGCGGAGGGCTCTGGATGCCTCCTGCGTCCCCTGCCAGCTGCATCACACTGTTTTTATAGCTGGCCCGTGGGCTCTGTGAACTAGAGGCCCTCCCCTGGATGGTAATGAAAGAGTGTTTGATGCTTGGTTCTTAGAGGGACGGCTAAATTGCCCAGGGGTTCTCCTCAGGCTGGAAGGACAGAGCTTTCTGGCCTGGCTGCACACGGGACAGCACATTTTCTGGGCTCAGCAGGCCAGCCCTGGAATCAATTCTTAAGGCTGCGATTCTCCCTTCGGGTGTGCATCTAGGGGCGTGGGCGTTATGGGGCTCCCTGGCAAGGCTCTTTCCCGGAAGCTCTTCTTTTAAAAAAAGGGGGCAGGGGGCGGGGGGCGGCCGGAAGCGTGCTTTGTGGGGAGACGATATGAGGGAAGAGCAGGGTTCTGGGAACAGAGCTGCCCGGCAGGGCTGGCCACGCCCCACGCCTCAGCCTTCTATGTTGCAGGGCTGAATGCGACACGGCCGGGGCAGGAAGCCCTCTCAGGCCAACTATCCGGGGTCAGGCCCGCGTCCTCTCTCCCTTCCAGGGTGCTCAGCCCTAAGCTGCTGCTTAGCACGGAGGTGGAGGCGGCCCTCCCATCCGGGACCCGGGGACCCTGCCTGAGGAGCGTGGCCCGCTGTGAACACGGATCTGAGGCTAGAATGGGGGCGTGGAGAGCCGCCCACGGATGGGCCGAGGTGCTCCGTGCCCCCGGGCTACCAGACTGAGAATCCTCGCCACGTGTGCCTTCAAAGTGGAAACTTTCAAAGGGCGGTGGTGGCCAACGGCATCCCAGACCCGCCTCCCCCACGCGGGGAGCCTCCCGCGGAGGGATCGGGGCGCAGGGACAGTGGGCAGTACCGGATTCGGGCATCTTAGTCCCGGAGGTGGTGGCGGGAGGCCTCTCCGTGGTGGCGGCGGCGGCGGCAGTGGTTGTAGTTGTGGCGGCGGTGGTGGTGGTGGTGGCGATGGTGGTAGGTGCGACACCTGGGATGGTGGGGACTGTGGTGGCTTCGGTGGTGGCAGCGGTGGCAGTAGCGTCAGTACTGCTCACAGCGCCCGTCGCACCCACCGGAGTCGGGGGCAACGTGGGAGGAGCTGGGAGGGAAATGTAAAACAGCCGAGTCCGGTTGGTTCGGGCGTCCCCGGCCTGGCCTCGCGGCCCCCGCGTGCAAGGCAGGCAGCCCGGTGGGGAGACGGGGCTCGGTACCCGGGAGCCCCCGCAAGCGTGACGGACCGGGTCAGAGGATCACGGGGAGAGAACACAGCCATGGGCGAGGAAGAGAATGAAGCCCCGTGCGTGTTTCATTTTCTTCGCATGGTCTGTGTGGCTCAAAGCGCCCAGCATGCACCCGGCCGAGGGTGAGGGTGAGGATGGCGATGGGAAAGGACCCGCACCAAGTCACTCCGGCCCCAGGCACGGCTTGGGGTCCCAGGCCAGCGCCACCCAGACACAGGCCAGGCAGCAGCCCTGGAGCTCCAGGCTTGGAGGGGGGCAGGTGGCCGGCTGTGTCCTGCAGGAGCACCGGGACGACTCCCATTCCCAACCATCCGCTCCCAAATTCCCCTTTCTCATGGCTGCTCGAGTTCTGACACCCCCAAACCCAACCAGAGAGAGAACAATCCCCACTCTGTAGGTCGGCCTCCCGGCATGGCCCGCGTCTCCTGTCTCACTGTCCACCCCTCCCCAGGCACTCAGCTCTAGTCCATGGCCCTGCCTCTCCTCCCTTCTTCTCTGCCCAGTGATAGTCCTCCCGAACGTGTAGTAACTCCTCTCTTCCCAGCACATTTGGGTTTCCCCTTCACATCAGGACGTGGGAGGGACACTAATGCTGCCACAGCATAGTCTGTGCTTGGTAGATGGAGAAATCCCAGGACGCAAGCGAGATACATTTGTGGGTTTCTTTTTTGCATAAATCTGCAGGGGATTGGTTCAGATCTCTGCTCGCTCTCACACCTTCGTCTCCCATCCGAAGCTACCCTCGATGCTGGTCAGCCCCAGGGGACTAGTGTCTATGTGACATCGCTTCCATAGGCTTGCTTTCCTTCTACAGGAGGATCATGGCAGCTACCAAAGGGCTGTCCTGTGACCCTCTCGTTCCAATATTGCCAAAGCCGAGGTGTGAGATGATGGGGGCAAATCAGAGACAGAGCCCCGTCTCCTCTTGCCATCTCTTGTAATCTGATTAGGGTCGACTTTATGGGGCAGAACGCAGGGATGTTAAGATATAAGACACTTGTAACTCCAGAGGAATAGCGACATCCCAGCCCTATCTCTAAATCTCTAGAAGTTTAGGAAGAAAATAAGCTCACTGCCCGGGGTGGGGCCAGGGCAGGGAGGGAGCCAGAGACAAGTGACAGGGAGCTTTTCTCAGGGGAGAATGAAGACACCCTAGGCCTTTCCAACAAGAGTCTGACCAACAAAAGCCCTTTCATTCCCCTGGGTGTCCAATATTACAAGTCCCCATAGAGAAGGAGGGGCTGTTCTGGGATCACAACTGCTTCCCTATTTGCAAGATCAGAGGCAGTGCCGGACCCTGAGGCTGCTGACAGCAGAAGTCACATTGGGTGGCCAAGTATGTCCCATGCATTCCAAAGATTCCTGGGCAGGGTCAAAGCAGGCAGTGCTATATTCCCTATACCTCCCGACTCAGACATCAGGAAGGTGTGGGGTGGGGACCATTCCCCCTCCCCACTGTTGAAGCAGGCCCAAGGTGGCCCCAGGCCTAGAAAGCTCAGTGCTATAAAAACTCAGCATGAGGGAATTCACCTATCACACTCACCAAGACCTACAGACAGACACATGGAAAAGCCTGAGAGATCCACAAGGCCAAGGTCAGCTCTCTCCCAGAGCTGGCCCCTTGCAGGTCCTGTGCCGTGGACACACATGGACTTTTCCTGCTGCTCTGTGCTGCAGGAAGGAAACCTGAGAGGCTATCTTGCCCATCGGGGCAGGTCTTTCTCTGATCTGCTTCCTCCTCAACAGGGTATTTTCTAATAATTTCTGGCAAATACAGTGTTCACAGGGCCCCCCTTTTCTATGACCACTTAAAAGGCATCATCAAAAAACTTTGGGAAGATGCTCCTTTTGAGTTAAACTTATCCCACTCTGTGTAGCGCAGACCTGGGCAGCGGTGTTGCATTTCCGGGGCCCCCTGAATCAATGTCATTTCCCCCCAAAGCTGTACACACTCATGTGCCCCTTAGTTCTTGTGAAGTGGAGACATACACACTACATCCCACAGGCCCACAGCTAGGCTCGCACGCACCTCCCCGGGCCGTCCTCTGAGAGCTTTAGAGACAGAGACGCTAAGAGAGGCTAGGTGAGGGCCCTGCTGGTCAGAGACAAGAACAGGAAAGGACTTTGAGGATGCTGCACTGTCTTGTCCCTGTCCTTCAATGGCTCCTTCCACCAAGCGTGACCAGAAGGAAGCGTTACTGACGAAGCATTACTGACCTAAATGCTTTTCCTTCAGCTCAGTGGCAGCAGCCCTGGGGTATTAGGGAGAGGGGGACAAGAGGCAAGGAGTGGTCTCCCAGGCGCCCTCCCAGAGGGTGCCCGTCATTGGAGTCACCATGGAGGAGGCAGCCCCAGCTGGCTGAGGTCACAGCTGGCCAATCAGTGTTCTCTCTGGCCCACTCATTAGCTGCATCTATTGTCCCATGGCCGGACAGGGCCAGACAGACAGGGAGGGCAGAGGCGAAAAGGAAAGGCTCTGGGTCAGGTGAGTGAGTTGTTGGAGGCTCCTACAGGCGCGAGGGGAAGGCAGGTTTTCACGGGGAAACCGTCCAGCGCTCAGGTCAAAGGGGATCTAGAGGATTTTGTCCCCTGGCGTGGGGTTCGGGTAGAGGACAGAAGGGGGTCAGAGGCTTAGAGACAGAGTGGCCCACAGGCTGGACAGGCATGCTGCTGGGCTAAGAGGGCATCTCTAGTTACAGCAGGAATTATGGGATGGAGAACCATAATTCTGTGCACTATGTCCGTCAGTGATCGGTGGAGAGCACCAGCCTTGACCCCAGAACCTGCCACGGGGCTGCCCACCAAACATTTGCAGCTCTGAGTCACAGACGAGGACAGCAGTTTCCAGACATTCCAAGGTGGAGGGTTCAGTCCAAACATGTCCACATGGCGCGTGGACTACCCTGGCCAAATCACAGATGGCCAGGGCAGATGGGCAGCAATCCTTAGAGACCACAGGCACAGGTGCACGAGAGGGGTTATTTTCACGGGGTAAGGTATGAACAGATCGGTCTGGGGTAAAAAACAAAACAAAACAAACAAACAAAAAAAAAACAACCACCCAGGTTTGGGGAAGATGAGAGGGAAGGGAGCAGTGGGCTGGATAACAGGCCCATGTCAAAAATGTGGAACCTGGGCTCCATCGCTTGGCACCTGCAGATTGTGCAGAAGGTTCTTATGAATTTAAAGCTGAGAACAGCTGGTGCCATCAGCACATCTCATTTACAGAGAAGCGCAATGTGCCTCTACCAGCATGTCGTGTGGAAGCCGGCGTCCAGGAAACACATTTGACAGAGGGACAGAGCCCCTGAGCTCATTGTGCATGCCACGGTGGGCCTGGATCTTTTCTAAACGGGAAGCGGAAAGTAGGGGGTTTGGAACGATCGCTGTCCCTTGCAGGGGCCACTCGTGAGAGGGGCAGTCCAGACTGGCACGGTGCTCACTGAGCAAGGCAGACCCCACGCTACCAGACCCGTCTGCCTTGGGTCCCAGGGTGCCAGATGGTGGTGGTGCGGGGGGGGGGGGCGGCTGGGAGCTCTGACCAACGAGCTTCAAGCTAATTCTCTTGGTGCCCCGAGTCTCCCCTTCTATGTTTGCTAAGCCTGCTAGGCCACCCTGAGCACCTGCTAGAATAGTTCCAGAAGAGACCCGTGTGCAAACTTGAGTCAGAAAGTCAGGACAATGCCCAGAGTCCAAGGATGGCCTTCTCCACGGTCCCCGGGCCCAGGACCTCTCTCGACTTCCTATTCCAGAGGAGGAGTTCTGACCCTGTGCGGAGGCCCTGGGACCCACCAGCTTGGCTGACGATGGGGAGGGGGGAGGAGGGGCCTGGGGGAGGGAGGGATGATGGCGGCACACCACCCACAGGTCTGGCAAAACAAACAAACGGAAGGAAGCGGGTGTGCAACAGAAATAGAATCAACCTAAAACGGGGGTGGGGGATAAATGAGTCAAGGCGGGGAGGCAAGCAAACTAGGTAACCCTCCATAAGCCAACCCCCAGATTCCTCACCTGCTTCTCCATCCTCCCCTTAAGAGCTTAAGGAGGCTCTAGTGACCCCCTGCCCCACAGCCTTTGCTCTGCCAGGGTGAGCCTTGTCCTCAGCTTCTGAGGAGGGCGGGGGGGGGGGGGAAGGAACCCTGGGGTCCCCTGCCTAGCTTCTCCAGCTTGAGGACAGGCCTTCTGTGGTGGCGACGCGCCCTCTGGTGTCCTCAAACCCACAACATGAGGGCTTGAGAGGAGCCATGTGGTTAGCAGGTCTTTCCTAAGCCGGGACCTGCGTGCCCACTCCTCCCTTCTGCTGTGCCTTTACCTCCCGGACCCTGAGAGTGGAGGCTGTTCTTAATGCTGAAGAATCTGAGAAGCTGGGTTTCTAAGGGGCGAGGAAACAACCGGCCCGTGGTGCCCGCTAAGACGCCAGGTCCTGGAGCACCTGGCCCTATCCAAGGACAAGCTCACTCGTCGTCGCTGACCAGAACCCATGGTAGATGGCAGGGCTGGTGCCGGGCCCCCATGCAGCATGCGTGGTCGGCATGCACAGCGTGCTCACCCCGTAGGTCACCCTTTCAGGGGATGGCAGCCTGACCAGCAGACTGGGGCCAGCTGCTCTCATTCATGGTGCAGCATTCCTTCGAGGGGCACAGCTGGCCACCCAAGGGCCGTGGACCCTCTCTCTGCGTTCTGAGATGTCAAGCCTAGGCGAGGGCCCAGGTGGGTCAGGGGAAGTAATCACTCAGCTTCTAAGAGACCTGCAGGTGCAGAGACTGGGTCTGGAGCCTGTGTGTGCGTGGGGGGGCCCTTCCTGAGCCATCCCAGGAGGCCAAGAGTAAGTGAAGGGAAGAGGGGGTGTTTGACCTCCTCCGACCCCTCCCCCACACACATCCTCCTTGCCGGTCTGGCTTCCCAACCACTGAAAGGGTGAGCGTGGAGCATGCCTTCATCCCGAGCCTCTCCCTCCTTCTCCACCCTGGCTGGGCTGGGCTCCGCCTGCACCGTCCCATGCCATGCCCATTACCTCTGCTGCTGGTACGGTACCTGCGGTTGGAGTAGCTTCAGAACACAGCGCCCAAGATGGCCAGAGAGAGGGAGAAAGGAGGAGAGAGGGAAGACAAAACAGAGCACAGGTGAAACCACGGGACAAGCAAGCAGAGGAGCGTCTGGCTCAAACCTGACCCAGACAGTGTGGCCAGGTGCTGGCTGCTGCCCCGAGGACGCCAACTGGTGTCCAGGGCTCATGTTCAACTTCCCTGGGGCCTGGTGTGTTCCTACAGAAAATTTCCACCGGGATCTGGGAGACCTTTCTAATACACTCTGACTCCACCTCCACTCCAAGACTATCATCTAGGAGGTGGCCGCAGGGACAGTCTAGAGTGGTTTGTTCCCAGCTCTTTCCTCCAGGGTGCATCCTTCCCTGGCTCGGCTGATCTTTATGAGGCAGGCTGGGTGGCCCTTCCACGATGCCAAGAATTGAGGGCATAAGGTGTAGGTGGCATAGCAGGCCACCAACCCCCGTAGAAAGGATGGTTCCTGTAGATCTTTGGGGGAAGATGGTGTATAGGGTTGGGGTGGATGGAGGAGGGGCGAGCCTATTTCGCGAACCCTCCCCCACACCGTCTCAGCCTTGGAAGGCCGGGGAACCGTCACAGATTGTGGCCCTCAGGCCCGGCTCCTGTCCTGAGGGTGTGCTATCCTAGTTTTTTCCCAACAGCTGTATTTTATGAAATAAGAAACCCGACTGTGGATTGAGAGCCCTAAAAGGAATTCCTGAATTTACTGCAAATCCCTAAATTGAGAAGAAAGTCTCTCTTTGTCCTCTTGTCCCCTCGGGCTGCAGAACTTATCCTGTGGTGGTCGCTAGGGCTGGACAATGGGGCTTTGTTTATCTGATGCTCTGCATTGGGCTGGAAACGGGGAGGTTACAAGAGGCTCTCTTTATGTCTCTCGTTATAGAATTAAGCAATCAGGAAAGTGCACTCTCCCGTCTGGCCAGGCCTTTGCGAAGAAGACTACATCAGCCACTTGCCCAAAGTCCCCCAGCCCGAATAAACTGCCTGAGTGCCCAGAGGGTTTGACGAGCACACGAGGAGGAGGGGGACTTATAGGGTGGCTCACTCCTGGTTTACAAGACCACAGAGGGACACAGGAAGGATTGTCAGCCTTTCTCCAGCTTGTCTGTCCCCTCTCCCGCCTGCCTCAGCACTGGCCTGCTGGCCCTGGGGGCGGGGCTGAGGAGGAATGCAGGGCTGCTGGGAAGCTAAAGTGAGGTCCCAGGGCAAGGCAGCAGGCCTGGGCCAGCGACGGAAGCAGAGGCTCTGCTGGGGTGGGAGAGGGTACTCAGGAGGTCCCATCCGGGCCAGGGGCAGGCCGTCGGACCTCAGCCTGCTGGGGTAAGCACTAGACAGGGTAACCTGTTGTCTGCTTCACTGCCTCTCCTGTGAAGTGTTGCCTTGCAGGACTCACCCCTCCTCTGCACAGCCACCGACTTTCCTCATCTGAACGTAACATTTCTCATGTTGAACAGCGATCAGATATCCTTGTGGCTGTCTCCCCTCCTAGGCGGTAGTTTTTGGCACAGTGTCTCACACCTCGTGTGCTCAGGAAATGGCTGTTGAATACCCCACTGTGCCTCTGGAGAGGCAGGGGATCCCCTCCTTCTGGAGAGGGTCTGCCACATCAAGGTTTCTGCAGCCTGGCATCCCTGAGGTTCTGGGAGCCGGCACAGGCACAGGTGGGCCTGGAGCCCCCTCTAGTGGACGTCTTAGGCAGGCGCACTCTGCCGCTGGAAGACGCCAGGAGCCAGGAGCTGAGAGCGTTTGCGCCTCAAGAAGCTGGCTTGGCCAGTGGCTGTCTCCCAACGCCCCCCACCCCCTCCCCACGACCTGACAACTCACTCGGCTCAGGCTGCAAGCAGGCCCTCTTCCTTATTCCCCCAGAGAAGGCAAGGTGATAGATGTTAAGTAGCTGAGAAAATCAAGACAGAGTTGGGATCAGGTCTGACTGCAACCATCTAAGAAGATGTGAGTTTTCCAGATACCTCGCCAGCACCTACCTCTCAGTATATGAGACGGGCTCTCTTGTATCCTACTGGGGGCTGGAGGACCCGCTGCCCTGTTTTCTTTCCATCCCAGGAGGCCATCAGGTCAGGGTGTTTCTCTAGGCATCTGAATTAGCTGGGACCTTTCATCCCCAAGGCCACCGTAACGCACCTACCTTCGTTCGGGGGTGCTGGTGACTCCTCTGTGGCTGCTTCCCCAGAGCCCACCTGCGTCCTGGCACTGAGGGTAAAGCGGTAGCGCGACACGGGGTCTGCTCTTTGCATCGTGAACTTGGTCTGATTGGGAGAGAAGTTTTCCACTATCTGCTTTCCTAATTTGGTTCCGTTAACTGGGGAGAGATAGGTAAGTGGAATTGAACTTCAGCAACATTGACCGTGGTGGGTTGTACAATCTGCAGCTGGGAGGAGAAAGCCTTCCCGACTCTGCTGGAGAGGGCACATGTGGGACCTGCCCCGAAACCTTAATGACCTGGGGGGGTAGGGGATTTGGGTTTAAGGGCAGAGCGCTGGGCGAGACCCCTCCGTCTCTCCCTCCGATGACACACCAGGGTTAATGCTTTTTCACTGATCTCATTATCTCCAGCTCACTGCAAAGTTATGTGGCTGATGCTAAAAGATTTAGTTTATAATCCCCAGGCCTTTTCAACAAGGACAAAACTTGAGTTCCTTTCTTCCTTTCAAACAGAACTAGGGCACAACCACTAGAGCTTTTGATCATTAATGCCTCCTCTGTAAAAGGCCTATTCACTATACCTCAAAGGGGGACGGTCAGGTCCAGAGATCGATTCAGAACCGCACAGAAGCACACAGTTGGCTATTAAAATCGTCAACCGCACCACACCTGGCCCTCTGAGCTTCCCGATGCGGTACAACATCACCTACTTTAGAAGGCTTACAGCTTTTCAAATGTAATGACACCCCTGTCCTTGCATGGTGACACTGAGCTCTTAAGGTCAGGTCTTCCCTACTCGGGCTCTTGACGGAGTCGCTCTATATACAGCTGCCTTAACATAAATGACACCTTGTTTGGTGTCCCCAAGGGTCGTGTGGATTCCCTTGCATGTAGTCTGCCCCATCGGAGGAGGTCAAAACTGTCTCTCCTAGACTTACTGCTGGGTGTCGGAGACCCTAAGATCCCTGAGGGGCCGAGTTGCACCCCTCATTAGACCAGGAGCTCCCTCGGTCTCGCCTGCCTCTCCTAATCGCATGGGGAACTTCTCCCAGGTGCCTCTATCCCTCTGCAGTGCCCTTTGCACCCATAGGCTTCCTGCCTCGATTCCTTCGAGAGTTGGTGAGAATGGGGTTTCCGATTCCCAGATTAAGAGAAAAAAAGGGCGGAACGTACAGGCCACGTATTTGAGAGTATATCCGATCAGGATCCCATTGGGGTGTTCTGGATGATCCCATTCCAGGTTGATTGTCTCCAGGTTGGGCTGCCGGACTCGGAAACGCCTGGGGGCACTGGGTACTTGGGGAAGGAGGAGAGGGCAGGGGAGATGAGGGGGAGGGGGGAGGCAGGATGAGGAAGCACACAAAAACAAAGCACAAGCATGAAGGTGTTGACCTCTGGGCAACCCCCAGGCAGGATAACTGTCACGCCGGAACCCATCGGAACCACAAGGGGGCCAAAGCCCACCGCCCCATCCAGGATGCTGCTTCCCCCAGTTTAGGACAAGCATGGCTCAGACTCAGTTTAAATGGGGAAGAGGTCAGTCGAGTTTTCCTTTAACAACTACTGTGGATACGGCACACGTTAGGCTCTGCTCCTGCAAAGACACCTTCCAGCTGGCAGGGGACCAACCACAGCTGTTTGGCACAGAGGCTGTGGTTCCTAGGCTTCAGACAAGGATGCTCACCGCTGGGTGCCAGCAGCAGCCAGGCTCCAAGCCGGGAATGCGGGGTGCAGGGGTGAGGAGAAAGAAACCCAAGATGGGATCCACGGACAGGGCACCAGGAGCGGGAGGGACGGGGAGAGGCCGAAGATGAAGAGAAAATGAGGGGCTGGGACAGATAGGAATAAAGAAAACAAGAGAGAAGAACGAAGAAGGAGGAAGAGAAGAAAAATGGGGGGAAAGCAGTTAAAAGGGAGGGGGAGAAATGGAAGAGGGCAAAGCAAATGCCCAGCCGATAAGCTTCGCAGGCATCTGCCTCCCAGGAGCAGGCGGATCGTGAACCAGCATCAGGGCGCCCCCTGCGGGGCCACTGTGCACACAGACCAGCTATCCCCATGGAAGCTTCTGGATTTACAGTGCCGAGAGAGCTCTGAAGGTCCTGGGTGCTTCCGGCGGTCAGGGTGACTGTGCTTCGGCCTCTGGAGGTGGGGGTAGCCCAGGCTCCCCCAGCACCTTTGCGGGGGTCAGTCTACCAGCCTGTCTGGAATGCGGTCAGCAGCAGACGGCACAGGTCTTCTCTTGAGACACGATGTCCTGTCAGGGCAGGCCACCCTGGAGGTGCTGGCGTGCTGTGGGAATGGCAGGAGCCGCTCGGCTCGCGGGACATCAGCTTCTCGGGGTCGTGCAGAGTTCGCCTTGTAATGTCCGGCCAAGTCACTTGGGGGCTGCTCCAGGCCCGCCTGGACGTGCTACCCTGGTCCTGCCCCACCCCGAAGAGCTGTGGGTCACACCTACCTCCTTCCGGGGTGGTGAACTCCTTGGTTTCACTGCGAGGCCCATCGCCTCTCCCATTGACCACAACCATCTCCAGCTTGTAGTTACTGTAGGGGAAGAGGCGGGACACCACGCCACGGGGGCGGTCACCGGGGAAGCTGGCTTGCTGCCTCTTCTGAGACACCCACAGGTTCTTCAACAAGCTGCTCTCCCTCCAGTAGTAGGCCTTCGGGACAGAGGCAGGCCGGTGAGGGGACGGTCAGGTGGAGCGGGTTAGTTGTTAGTGCCGATGGTAGTGACCGGTCTTCCCTTTGCTTGCCACGGGCTCCGAATCCCGAATGCCCTCATCAGTCCCCCTAGGGCTGGGGGAGCGGCCTTAGAAGCCCTGTTCATCAGCCACTAGCGAGTAAGAGTTGATGCGAAACAAGAAATGGGTGTTTCGGGTTCAATCGTTTTCTGAGCCACATCGCCTCTCTGGGTTAGGCAGGTTGGCCAAAGTTACTGATGGCGATGGTCCATCATGAGACTTATTTCCAAGCTGGGAACAAGTTGCTCAGGGAATCCATGCCGGAACCACAAATATGAGCCCAGGGTCCCGGCATGGAAAGCTCTCTTCTGTGCTCAAAGACCACATCACCTTGCGTTGGATTAGTATGGTTTAGATCGGCAGGAAGCGGAAGTTGACAAGTAACAGGTTACCCCCAGAAGTCTGAATACGAGAGCTGATTTAATCCTTTGAAGTCAAACGTTTTCTTTTAATATTGTTTGAAGACCTTTAGAATGGGATAGACACATGTCCAAGTCAGGGGACGCCAGGCTGTTAAGAGCTTGGACGGGATGGCCTTCAGAAGGTGGTAAGTGTTATAAGTAGAGTCGAGAGAGTTTGGGACACAAGGAACAGTTAGCAGTAGGTAAGAAGGCCCAGGTCAGGCTGCCACACCAGCGTCACCTGGGCCTCCAATGGCAAAGGAAGGAGGAAATCCACACTTAAGAAGGGGGCCCAATGGGAGCTTAGCCAAGAAAGCCTCCAGGCAAGTAGGTAAAGAGTGCAAGTCAAATGCTGGGGAAGAGCTCATTCAAGTGTATATATCCTCTTGCCTCTTTCCCCTACCTACCAAATTCATGTCCGCAAAAGAGACTGGTTCCCTCCATTCTGCCCCCAGCTGTCCATCAGCCAACTCTCAATGACCTCTAAGTCACAGAACGTGAACTGTCCCATGCCTACAGCCTCCTTCACTTCCCGGGCAACTTTTATTTATTTTTTTTTTTTTAATTTTTTTTTTTCAACGTTTATTTATTTTTGGGACAGAGAGAGACAGAGCATGAACGGGGGAGGGGCAGAGAGAGAGGGAGACACAGAATCGGAAACAGGCTAGAGGCTCTGAGCCATCAGCCCAGAGCCTGACATGGGGCTCGAACTCACGGACCGCGAGATCGTGACCTGGCTGAAGTCGGACGCTTAACCGACTGCGCCACCCAGGCGCCCCCCGGGCAACTTTTAAATAAAGTAAGGGAGAGCCTGGCAGAGCCTGGGTCTTCTCTCCCGTTTCCGCACCTCGGCCTACCCTTTCTAAGAGGAGAGACCAGTGAGCAGAAATTGCTCACAGGCAGGGAGACCAGGAGAAGCCGAGGGCCTTCATAATCCATACACTGGATAATCCCGAGTTGGCTGAGACAACAGGGAAGGTCTTTGGTGGCTCTCCCTGTTAGCTGGGGTTTCATGAAAGCAGACTGGGTGAGGCAAGCAGCCCAGCGGGGGCCATTCGGAGAGGGGAGGGGTGTAGCTCAGGGGTGCCTCAACACTGCTCCTAAGATACATGTGTGCCTGCTCACACATGTACGAGAAGCGTAACGTGCTACGCAGGGCCAACCCCGACCCACCACCCTTCCCGTGATTTTCTGCCGAGCAGAACCGTCAGCACATTTCCTTGCAGGCCACACCTGGTAATTTTTTCCTGGGTGTATTTTTGAACCGCTAACACTAGACATCATCTTCGTGAATCAACTCTGGATCGAAAAACTATCCCTAGGACCCCTTCTCCAAGGATCTCATGGCCCGCGTCTGCTACCCCCTTGCCCTGGTTAGCAAGCTGGGTGGTTAGGCGGGGCTGAGAGCGGGTTTCCTCACTCGGTACTCTCTGAGTTGGCCCTGCACCGTGTCGGGATAGACGCGGTTCCACTGAAGGCTGATGGCTGTGCTGTTCAGGACTCGGATTTTAACGTCAGTGGGCGCAGCCCTGGGATCTGCAATGTGTTGGGACAGAGAACTGGTTATACAAGCGGGGCTGGCCCCTGGACTCTAGGGTCTAGGGACTTGTTCTCTGCCGGCCTGTGCCTCCACCCCACTCTAGACACTGGGTACTCCATGAGGGCAGGGGCTATGACTGCTCCATGAGGCTGCACTTGCGGGAGTGGGGGAAAGGCCAGGGCAAAAGGGTGGCCATCTTGGTGGGAGGGGTCTACTTACATGTTTCGAAGGCAATTTTTTGCTACTCTCAGATGCTGGGAGCCCCCATTTGCCCCTTCATCCCATGTGCTACCCTTCCCCACCCTGCTCTGTGTCCCAGCAGGCTACCCTCTCCAGACTGTGTCAGCTGGTCCCCTTGTTCCCAGGCTTCTGGAAGGGTTTGTTCAATAGGAGAGCTCAATAGGAGACCCCAGGGCAGGAGGAGAGGGAGGGTGGGTACCTAGTCCCCTGCCTGCCTCTCTGCGGGGCTCAGGTTGACGGTGGTGTACTTTTCTATCCAAGGGCAGTCCTGGTTGTGGGGACTCACCTGTCCCCTGACCCTTCAAGGCTCAGAGTGTTATACTGGGATTCCGCTGTTGCTAGCCCAGCGGGCAGCATGGTTCCTGAACCCTGTCCTCACATTAGAGACAGTCCCCTTTGAGTGACATTTGTTCCCTACCAGCACCCTGCAGGAGACATCACCCATAGATGAAGATGCCCTAACCTAGTTCAGGACAGGATTCTGACCCTTGACTACCTGAAGAAGAAGACCCACCCCTCCCTCATGACTGATTCTTGCCTCCATTTTCTGCACTTTGCTGCCAAAGCTGTTCTGCACCACCCCCCCCACCCCCCACCCCGCACCTCCTCCAGCCCTCGGGGGTGGGCAGGTGCAATGGAAACTGTGGGCAGGTCCATGAAGTTCACGACTAGACCCTGCTTAGTCCATACTCACCAGCCAGTAGTTCCTGCCAGTGTCCTGTCTGGAAGTGTCTGCCACCACAAAGACGAGGAGCAGGATGGACAGAGAGCCTGCTGATACCCTCCACTCATTCCCAAGTGGGTCCAGGAAAGTGGGGCCCGGGGCCCAACCCTCCCTTCTTTCCATCTGACTGTGACACACAACACTGGCTCGACTCTTGACCCCAGCATTGGCCCTTGCAACTCCCCAAGACTCTCCTCTTCCCTTCCTTCTGGTCACCCCGTCCACCTACGTGATCTTTTCTGGGATCAGACGCAGACCCACGAGGGCATGGATCGCCCTGACTGGGAGGGGCGCCACCAACCCCCCTGCTTTGCTCAGCAGCCTACTGAATTGACGTGCTGTGGACAAGGAGGCCACTGCTGTCTTAAAAGCCAGGCATATACTTCCACGTACATGCCCAGAAACTTGTTGGTTCACTGAGGCTAGCCTCCAAAGAACTTCTCTTTGTAAGCCAATTCCGAAGGTTAAGAGCAACACTGGGGATGCCAGCAGGTGGCTGGTATGGATCATTCCAGACTAAGCCTCTGGAGACCGTCTACATTTCTTGAGGTCTCCCCTGGGGAGCCAAGAAGGAGTCTGGCCTGGGGCCCTGCTTCCTGCGGAGGAGTCTAATTATGGCTCTTTGGGAGGGAGAGTCCCGAAGTCTTGGCACTAGCAAGGCTTGGCAGTAAGGTAGATTCGAAGGCCCGGCTTCTATTTTCCAGCTTGACATCTGCTATTGTGTAATAATGGCAAGGTTGTTGCCTCGCAAGGCCTCAGGGTTCACATCCATAAAATGGGAGCACTGGACCACGTGATGATGTTCAAGAATTCTAACTAGCATTTGTGTGATGACATTTCTGCTCCTGACATTTACAAGGGGCCTGTTGCCCGACTTCACCATAGGGGATTTCTCTTTCCGGGGAACCGACTGTCCTCCCCGGATGTTCTCGGAAGGCCCTATGACCCACCCTGAGGTTCCTGGTCTGTGAGGCTGGCCTTGCGCAGCCAGGCTGGGAGGGTCCTTGCTAGCGCATGAGGGAGGGTACTCACAATCTTCCCCGGAGTAGCCGATGACAGTGTCTGGCTCAGGGCCCTTCCCAAAGTCATTTTCAGCCTGGACCCGGATCTCATAGGGTACGTAGACAGGCGTCTGCCCCACCACGTAGCGGGAGCCCCACACTGTGACGTTGTTCCATGTCTCTCGGGTTTCTCTCCGCCGCCACTTGACGATGTAGCGCAGATTGGGGCCAAAGGCAGAGGTGGCATTCATGGGCTGAGCGGGGAGAAATTGAAGGCGAGGGTGGAGCCCAGACCCGCCCACAGCCTGCGCTCTCCTTCTGTGCCAGGCACGCTGCCCCCATCTGCACAGCACTGGCTCCCTCGCAGCCCTGGGAGGGTGTGCCACCCCCACACTGAGTCCCCGAAAGCCAGAGTCCTATGAATTCAGCTGCATGTAGATTTTCTGTGACAGGCTTCGCCCAAGACCTAGTCACTCTGACTCCCAGAGCCACCCGCATCTGCATGTGCACAGGGAGCCAACGTTGTAGTTTCAACAGGACTCTCCTGTGAGGGATCGGTAAGAACAAAACAAGGAAACAACATGATACTCTCTAAAGTCGGAGAGGGATGAGTTGTGGTTTAGCCACAGCATGCCTGCTGCCACTGAACTCAAAATTCCAGAACTGACTTGGGTTCTACCAAATCCATGTGTGACTATCCTGTCGTTCCCAGCAGCTAACGGTGGGTGCAACACTCTTCTCTGTTCCCTGAGGGCATGGTCTAGGAATCGGTCCCCTGGGAGCCCACACTACAGAGCTGTAGACCAAGAGCCAGTCCTTGCAAGGTCCTGAAGATGAGCCCAGTGTCTTGAATCTGGGCTCAGCCCAGCTGCCAGGGCTGCTGTGAGGCCGAGCCCTCAGAACGATGGGGATGGCCATCATCCCCAACACTGTATCTCCCTGCTTCTGTTACTCATGGTGGCAGCACAGAAATGTTAATATTTCAATGGCTGAACGTGCACCTCGCAGACTTGGAAGTGGTTTGCAGCAAAAGTCATTTGGAGACCACGTATCCCAATTTTGGTTTGGAAAATATAGTCGGTGAGCCAAAATGAAGATGGGATTTTTTTCAACCCTGGCCTGGAGGGAAGCTTTTATTTCATCTAGTTCATTCCTGGACCAAAAGGAAGCCTGCACTGAAAGAACCTCGGATACTGGTCTTCCTTCTACCCCCAACCAGCTCCAGTGGGAGGGCCCCAGAACACGCCAAAGCTAGGTATACACGTTTAGGCTAAATCTTTTCTAGAATCCAACCTAAACCCCTCCTTCTTCTAGAGAGTAGTCCATTTTATGTCTGCTGGTACTCTCTCTGATTTTGCCAGACGAGCTGTCTATGTTCCTTGGTCACCCCTGCTTCTTCCTCCTGTCTTAAATCTTGCTTTTAGACGTGCTCCTGTTTGCTTTCTGGATGTCCGGTGCAGAGAGTGGCCTTGGGTTCTCAGGGGTGTCGAGAGCAAGGGCTTCCAGGTGCTCAAGGCCAAGAGAGCAGGCCCATCAAGACGGGGGGCTGGGAGGGACCCTTACCGTCCACGTGATCTCCATGTTGTTCTTTCTGGTCCCTTCTCCCTTCACGTCGGCGGGATTGGACTCAGGGGCTGGAACCCAAATGGATGCAAAGTTCAAGTCCAATTCGCTTCACCAGAGCACAGTGAGCCACCAAACTCTCTCCCTCCCACCCGACCCGTCCCTTCTGTGTTCTGTCTTTTCTCAGCATCTCTCCACGCTCTATCCCACAGGCAACTGAACTCGCTCTGCTGTTTTCTCATGTGTATGACGTGCCTTCCTAGCTAAGACTTAACCCCCTGCCCCTACAAGCAGCGCTAATTTCTTTTGAATTTTAATCCCTTGCCAGATGGCATTTATCGTAAGGCTTTCCATACTTTGGATGGTCCAGACAGCTAACTCAATGTGGATTATCCCCTTCGTGGATTATCTACTAAATTTAATACCAGACTGGTTTATCCCCGGCATTTGACATTTTGGGGGAGCAGCCCCATGCTCAATGAGCTGGTGTGTTTTCAGAAATCTAAACACGACCCCAAGTGGGATAGGAAAAGAAATCTGACATAACACCGGATTACGTATTTCTACTGCAAATCTCTGCCCTTGCACTTCCCTTTAAGGCAGATCACCAAGAATTATTAAGGATGTTAGTAATAATAAGACATCACAGCCAACATTTGCTGTGTGTTCACTAGATGCCAGGCATCACGGGAAGTACCCAAACCGCATTTTCAAACGAAAGCCCCGTGAGGGAGGACGTGCCGCTATTCCCCCGATGAAGAGGTCGAACCTCGGAGACGTCAAATAACCCGCCCACGTTCGTTCCTGCGGCCAGAAACTGGGGGAACTCCGTTTGACCTCAGGGCACCTGGTTTCAGCGCCTGGTCCGTCCGCCCTCGGGTACTCACGCGCCCCGCTGGTTCGGTAGCGCTCGGAGGGGAGGCTGGGGTGGCTGCTGCCCACCTCGTTGATGGCAATGACCCGGAACTGGTAGTTGACGTATGGGGACAGCTGGAGGACGGCGGAGTTGACGCTGCCCGGGAACTTGGAATGGTCATGCCAGACCCCCGGCTGGAACTGGTCCTCTTCGAACTGGACGACGTAGTCTGAGGGGGCAAGGAAGACGGCGCTGTTTGGGAGCTGAGCTAGCAGAGTTCTTCTGCCAAGTACTCCCTCGTGGTTTCCGCTAGTCTTTATCATCTCCCTTGGGTGGGCAAAGGCACGCGCAGATTCCTCCCAAGACAGCGAAAGGGGAACTGAGGCCTCCGTGTACTCTGGGAACAGCCCAGGGCACGTGTCAAGTGGGACAGAAGCAGGACCAGAGACCCGGTCAAAGCCTCCGGCTGCTACCAGAGACCAGGCTGCCATCCCTCCCTCGCTTCTGGATCGGAGCGCGGGGCCCCTGGCTGACCTGTGATGGGGCTGTTGTTATCGTCCCCTGGGATCCACGTCAGCCTCACGCTCCTCTCGGCCAGGTCGGTGAGCTCCAGGTCCCGGGGTCGGTCTGGCCGTCCTGGCAGTAGAGGAAGAACACAGCACGCAGGACTCCCCAGTTAGAGGCATCCCGTCCTTGGGCCGGCCCCAGCCCTGGACACTGTCCTATGACGGGTCCCTGATGGGCTGTGGTCACCGCCGGCAGGAATCAACCCTGGCCTGCCCCATTCCCTCAGGGGGCCGAGGTAGAACAAAGAGGAGACTCCAAATTCCACCCCCACCCCAAAAGCATCAAAGGATGTAGGGCACAGAGAGAACTGGGGCCGACCTATCCCATTTCTGCGGATACTCTTGGGTGCAAGTGTTTGGAAAATGCTGCCCTTTTCACGAGACCCATGCTTGTGACCCTTAGGAAAGCTGGCGAGGAAGTGTGGGGTTTTGTCTCCTTTTCTCTGGATAATTACCTTCCACTCTGCCAAGGCTTTGAGGGGGCAGGGGTCTGGGAGGGTGTCTGGAGTGCTGAGTGAGGCAGACCGGTTAGGCGCAGGGGAGGGACAAAGGCAGAGGACCGGGCCAGGGAGGAGACAGGGACTTAGTCTAGAAGTTTCAGTGGTGGACAGCAGGACAGAAGCGCCCCGCAAACATCCAAACAGGGGTGGGGGAGGCACCTTTGGGGGCTCCAGTCTCACCGGATTTCGTCAGTGGGTGTGAGGGCCATCCTGGCCCGGGGGTAAAGCTACCTCACCCCTGACCGGTGTGGTACGCATGCCGTTTCCCCACCCTGGCTCCTCGACCCAGTTATTTCTAGATTTTGGCTGGTTGCTGGGAGGATCTGGAAGGTGAGTCACCCGAGCCCACGTTCGTGTTTGTGTGCACGCGTGTAAATGCAGAGTGTGAATAGGTACATAGCAGCCGATGTGGAGAGGCCGCGAACGAGATGGGCCTATGGAGAACTTGAAGTGGGTGGGCCTTCCCGACAGCAGCCTACACGCTTCTGCGGCCAAAGCTGTGGGGACAGAACGGGCCACCACCAGGAAGCGGTGAGCGTGGCCACAAGTAGGGGATGGGGTGGAACAGCAGCCTCACCTGCGAAAAGTATGGGAAGCCCGGAGTAGGGCTGCGGCGGGGCTGGGAGGTGCGGGCGGGACCCTGGGGCGTGGGGAGCGTTACCCACTTGCCTACGCACCGCACAGCCTGTCCTGTAGCACCTTCCTCCTCGGGCTCCACCCTCCCCGCTACCTAGAGAAGGTTCTGGCGAGGGTCCCGTGATTAGTACGAATTACCTTTGGGCAGGGCAGCCAAACGGTTAGTTGGAGTGGCCTGATCAGCTGCAAAGGTAAGACGGGTTATCCAGGTTAGCAGGTTATCCAGGGTTACAGGTGTTCCAGAAGGATGGGAATAGGCGGCCGAGGCTTGAACAGCTGCCCCGGGCTGAGGTGTTCAAGGCACAGCTTCACCTGCCCTTCCACGGAGACCCCCCCCCCATGTCTTATAGAGGTCGTCTTGTTTCCTCCACGGCTGGCGTGGGGGCAGGGGGACTCGTCTCCTTCCCATCCCAGTGCCACCGTGTGCCTAGAACCACCGTCCCCGGCAGCTGTGTACCACCACCGCAGAAGAGACAGGGTGGACCAACAGCAGGGGCAAAGGGACGCCCAGAAAGAGGACAGAGGTGATGAGGCGACACCAGGGGATGTGCCTCCCTGGATGGGAAAGGCTACCTTCCTCTGGGGTTAGGATGGCTTAGTATTTACAGTCTGGCCCGGACACAGGGCAGGACGTGATGGAATCATTTTGCTAAGTGCACCGCGTCCTGTGAAATCCCCTCAAGAAACCGGAGGTGGGAGGGGGAGGGAGGCTGGCAGAGGGTGTTCCCAGAATAAAGTCAAAATTCAGTCTCGCTTCGACGGTGGACTGTTTTCACTGGCGTAGCGGTAGAGAGGCAGCTGTGAAGTTGGTAAAAATGATCACGAGAAGAACCCCCTGTCCACCTTCCCTCTCTCGCTCAGGAACCCTTCAGCTGAGGCTTTGGGCGAGTTAACGGTTCCACTCGGGAGGTACGGTGTCCAGCCCGGCACGTTCTGAAAGGAGCAGCTTCCTAACCCTCAGATCAAATGGCAGGAGACCACCGTGCCTGACCAGCCCGCTGACCACAGGCAGGGCCCTGGGAGCCGTCCAAGGCCCACGGCTTCTCTGGCCTCGGCAAGGGGTGGCGGGGGGAGGTCAGAGCGCGTGTGAGCGGCGGCAGTTACCTAGCACAGTAAGGTAGGCCTTGGCCAAGTCTTGGTCCAGCTCAGTGCTGGCAACGCACGTGTAACTCCCCTGGTCTCGCTCAGCCACACCAAAGATGGTCAGGGAGTCGTCCTCCTTCTTCATCCTGCAAGAGCACCAGGGAGGGGTCGGGAGGAGGGCGAGCGGGCAGACAGCGGGGGGCCAGGGGGGAGCCCCGGGCACTGTCTGCTTTCTCCCTGGAGCGGGGCGTGGCAAGTCAGAGAGGGGAGCGTCACAGGCCGGCCTGGGCAGCCACAGCCCCTCCCAGGCGACAGGAGGCCCCCCTCTCAATGCTGCGAGAGAGGCACGGTCCTCACTGTCACCTGGCGCCCTTAGGTGCCTGACGGAGGGGGACGGGGAAGTGGGTGAAGCGGAAGCCCTGACCCACGTTCCTTGCGCTCGAATGCCCCAGTGGCCATAACGTCTGTGTCTTTCCTGTGCTGCGCTCCCCTCCCAAATTAGGACACAGTTAGGTCCACGCCTCAACAGGCGGGCTGGTATCCCTCCTCTTCCCCTACTTCTGGCTCTCACTTCAGCCCAGGCCAGTCTCGCACCCAGGCTCAGGCCAGGCGCCCTGGGCTCCTCTGAGCTCTCTCCTGCTGAGGGAGGTGGGCACCACGGAGCAGGGCGGGCTGGTGGAGCTCTGAGTATCCACTGAGTGCACAGATGCCTGCGCCTGTCTGCAGGGTACACCCGTGGAGAAGCGAGATGATCGTGGAAACCGCTGTTCCCCATGCGCGACCTCAGGGCTCTGCACAAACACCCCTGGGGATGTTAGAGGGTACAACAAAGAGCCCCGTGGAGGAAGGCTTGGACCAGCCATTCCCAACATGGACTGCACATTGGAGACCCCCGTGGGGACTTTTAGACACTTTCAATGCTTCCCCTCCCCCTACATCACTTAAATCTGGACGCGAGAGGCTGGGGTGGTCTGGTAAGAGTCCAAGTTGCCTACGGGCTCGGACGCCCCACGGGCACTCTGGTGGCCGGCGACTCGGGCTTGCCCTGCCCTCTGCTGGAGAACAGGGGCACTGCAAGCAGGTCTGAGGACGTTGCCGCCAGCCTTGCCGAGACTTGCAGGGAGGAGGAGAGCATAGGGAGGAGGAAAAGGGGGGAGGAGAGAGTGGAAGAGAGGAGGGAAGAGAGAAAGGAGTGGGAAAAGGAGGAGAGGGAGAAGGAAGAGGAGGGGACAGGCAGAGAGCTGGGGGGAGAGGGAGAGAGGGACCCGGGGTTGGGGAGTCACTAATGCTGCCACGCCCCTCTGCACGCACGACACAGGTTCCCTGTCCCTGGGTTCCTCAGTGCGTCGCCAAGAGCAAGGGGGAAGGAAACGGTCCCGGACTCGTGGCAGGGAGAGAGAGGGAAGGAGCGGAAACCTGTTTCCGATGTAAAGGGGCTCGTCATCCTTCAGCCAGGAGACCGTGAGCTTCAGGGAGGGGTCGTGCTTCACCCGACACTCCAGCTGCACCGTGGTGCCCCTTTTGGCGACCTGGTCCTCGGGCATCCGGTAGATCCTGGTGGGGTCTGTGGAGAAGCCGAGGGAGGTTGTCACTGGCGTGGCCTCTGCCCACCACCCCACGTGGCCTCACCGTGTGACACGCGTGACCTCAAGGTTAGACCGACCACTGAAGGTGGAAGAAGGTCACATTCAGTTATGTGAATGAGTGATTCCAAGTAGTAAACAATCCCCAAATCCTTTCTATCTGGCTTGGGAATAGATGATGCACTTTCTGGGGTGTAGTGGGGTGTTGGTGGGGTCTCGGGCTTCCCTCTTTAATTCCACATGGACCAGGCTGAGAATGGCTCGGTGTTCCCAGCACCCAGGCCAGCTGGAAACCCTCGAGGACACACAGACGCACAGGGAGGGTCCCATCAGGGATGGGTGCATTTTCAAAGGGAACAGCGCACGGGAATTGCTTTGTGACGATGGCTTCCTCGCCTGCCCCCACGTCGCCCTCTGCCTACCAACCCTCTCCTTTACCTTTGACCTCCAGGCGGACCTGGTTTTCAGCTTTGCCCAGGATGTTGGTGGCGACGCAGGTGTAGATGCCTTGGTCCTCTTTGCGGATCATCTTGATTTCCAGGCTGCCGTTCTCATAGACATGGTAGTTGCCACCATCCAGGTTGCTGCCTTGCCCGTTCTTAAACCTCACAACAGAGCAGCACAACACGGAGCATACTGAGAGGACTGGCCCAAGGGAGTGGGGTGGCAACCTCTCGAGAGGCTGTGCGGGCAGCCTGGAGCCTGAGCCCCGCAGGGTCCACCTCCAACCACTGGGCGACCCTGGCAAGTCTCTAGCCCTCGGTTTTCTTCTCTGCACAATAAAGGAGGGCACCTGGGTGGCTCAGTCGGTTAAGTGTCCAACTTTTATTTTTTTTAACGTTTATTTATTTTTGAGAGACAGAGACAGAGCATGAGTGGGAGAGGGGCAGAGAGAGAGGGAGACACAGAATCGGAAGCAGGTTCCAGGCTCCGAGCTGTCAGCACAGAGCCCGATGCGGGGCTTGAACTCACGGATCATAAAAATCATGATCTGAGCCGAAGTCGGACGCCTAACCGACTGAGCCACCCAGGCGCCCCAAGTGTCTGACTCTTGATTTCGGCTCAGGTCATGATCTCATGGTTCATGAGTTTGAGCCTTGCATCGGGCTCTGTGCTATCAGCAGAGCCTGCTTGGGATTTTCTTTCTCTCTCCCTTTGCTCCTCCCCCACTCTCACTCTCTCTCTCTGTCTCTAAAACTAACTAAATACAAAATAAACGAGGGGGCTGACCTCAGTGATCTGCCAACTTCCTCCTGGCTTCCACCCTTTAAGGTTCCCAGGTCTTACTGAATACCTAATGTGGACCTGATGGGAACGGGCACCATAAGACAGGACCCCAGGGGGGACGCCTGGTCTCCTAGAACTTACCATCGGAGTGTGGGGATGGGAGACCCAAAGAACGGGCAGTCCAGCCGCGTCCGGTTGTACAGGATCACCCTAATGAGCTGGTTCCGGGGTGACAGCATCCGAGGGGGCACGTCTGCAAGTCCCGGAGAACGGGTCTTGGCTGGGGGCATCAGCTTTTCCAGCTACCAGCCCCCCAGTTCTTCTAGGTGCCTCGGTGGCATAGCAGCTCTCCAATCCCCAACATCCCTTCCCCTGTCAAACCTCCTCCTTTAAGAAGCCTCTCAGGGTTGGGTGAGGAAGGAGGAGGGTCACCCATCTACCCTCAGCCTACACTACATCTAGTCCGGCTTTTGCAAAGGGCCTCCCCAAATTATCCAGCAGGTTCTATAACTCCCCCTCCACAACCCCAAGGCATCTCCCGGTCGCCTCTGCCCTCTCCCTGCTCTGGGAGGGACACCAATGGATTCAGAACCATTTCCTACCCCCAGGACACTGAGAACGCAGGCAGAACTGGCCTGGATAGTGGAAAGGGTGAGACAGGTCCCTCCCCGTCATCTGGAGGGGGAAAGGGCCCCAAATCGACTTCTAACAGGGAACTAATTGTCCACACATCCAGATCCCTGGGTCCGAAGTCCCTCATCCTCCCCAGAAAATTCATCTTCAGTGTCCATGCTTCCCCCATCCCGCCGCTCTCTTGCCCCACCCAGCCTGGCTGACCTCTGGAGAAGAACACCCAGGGAGGCTGCACTGAGGGCGAGCGGAGGGGTGCACTCACCCAGCACACTGACGAAGGCGTTGGCCAGCAGGTAGCCGTGCTCGTTGGACGTGTTGCACTGGTACACAGCCCTGCTGCTGATCTGGGTGTCCCGGAAGATGATGGTGTCCCCGGCCACCTCGCGGTTTGGGTTGGGTGGTGCCGCTTCAGATAGGAAAGACGGTCCACGTGAGCAACAGGAGGGGCAGGGTGGAGGGCACTTGGGGCTCTGGCCAGGGCCCCCTAGGACGACCGGGGTGCTGTGGAAGAAGCACCAGAAGTCCCGGCTTCCGGCTCGGCTGCTGCCTAGCTGTGTGACTTTGGGCCCATCATCAAACCTACTGGGGTTTGTCCCTCAGTCTGTCCCATGGGACTGTGAATCCCTGCTCCTCCTATTCAGCAGCTGGGCAGACGTGGTTGACAGCATAAGCCGCGGCAACAGAAAGGGGTTTGAATTCTAACCGCATCACCTGCCCGCTTTATTCAGTTGCTGTAAGCTCCAGCATCCTTGTGTGCGGGATGGGGATGATATGTCACCCTGCGGGGCTCTCAGGGGGGTGACCTGAGATGTTATGCATGCATAAACTCATCAGCAGAGGCCTGGCACACACAGATTATGATGGTCGTTATTATTTTAATCCAATGTGTGCACACCCAAGTGTTTTGAAAAGGACAAAGGAAAGTACAACCGGATGGGACCTACCACCTTCCCATCCTCTGAGCAGAGCATTCCTCAAACATTCAGAGTTAAACCCATAAGCCAATGCCTGTTGAAACGGAATGAGTCCCTAGGTTTGCCAAAGCTTCCTGATCTTCGCAAGAAACGTATCCTAAACCGAGAGAGAACATTTGCTCCCACGGTTCTTCTAGTACGGCTGGCTTGTGATGCAGACGGCAGGGGCTGAGGAGTGGCTGTGGGGTCTCAGTCCTGCTCACATGTCAGTCTGGGACTGGGACAAACCAATAAATCTTTCTGGGCCTCATTTCCCTTCTCTGTCAAACGGGGGAGAATTACTCCCATCCTACTCTGAGGAGATTAAGAGAATGATAATAAACATTTAAAAAAAGGGGGGGCGCCTAGGTGGCTCAGTCGGTTAAGCATCCGACTTCAGCTCAGGTCATGATCTCGCGGTCTGTGAGTTCGCGCCCACATCAGGCTCTGTGCTGACAGCTCAGAGACTGGAGCCTGCTTCAGATTCTGTGTCTCACTCTCTCTCTGTCCCTCCCCTGTTCATGCTCTGTCTCTCTGTCTCAAAAATAAATTAAAAAACATTAAAAACATTTAAAAAATTAAAAAAAAGAGAACGATAATGAGCTGTATGAATAGTTTTCTAGAAGTGTAAAGAATTTCCACTTCCCATCTTTCGCTAGAAGGTGACTTTCTGCTCTAAGATTCCTGGGCTGGACCGGGTGCCTTGGCTTGGATGGTCTGTGAACCCATCCAGCATCGCTCAGACCCACAGCAGCAGTGGGCTGAGGGCCACCCCAGGTCTGGCCCCTCAGGCGCCACTCCACAGATAGCAAGTGTCAGCCCGGAACTGGGGAATCAGCAGGAGGTAAATGAAGACACGGTCAGCATCCTTATCACCCGTCCCCAAGTCCCCACTCAGCAAAAAGGCACAAAGAAGTCAACGCCAGCAACTTCAATGCCTCCTTCCCTGGCAATTCTCATGGAGCCCACTTTCCTCTCAGTCACTCCCCTTAAGTGACCGGTGACCTTTCCAGGGCCAAGGCTCAGTTGCAAGTCCTGGGCTCTGCATTTATTTAATGGTGCTGTGAAGTCTGGTGCCTTTGTCTGTCCTGTTCCCAAAGTGCTGTCAGGACACAACAGCAGAGGGCAGGCGGCGTCCGTGTCTCTGCCTGTGCCCAGTGGAAGGACACTGACGGGTGGGGGAGGGGGAAGGTATGTGCTCAGCACCGGACGGTGCGGGCATGCTGCACTCTCACGGAGATCCACAGGGACATTTTCTAACGGGAACGCAACTGGCGAGAATATGACGGGAAAACTCGACCAACAGCCCCATCTGGAAGGGGCCCTGGAATCACCTACTCCAGCCATTGGGCAGGATGCAATTTCCCCAAATCTGGGCATACTCATTAACTGTGCTGGCGTGTCTCTGCTGTCATGGGGAGGTTCTTCCTCACATCCAACCTGCTTCTCATTTCGCCCTCAGCAGAGAGCGGGGTCTGGGGAACTACCGACAGGTTTCCTGTCCTCTCGCACAAAGGTGAGGCAGATTTCCTGTCTCTTGAGATGTCCACAGGGATGGGACGCTCCAGAAGCAGCAGCCAAGGGGCTGTTCTTTGACTTCACTTCTGGGACCACTGGGGCTGGCCCAGAGGGATGGGGATCTGGAGCCTCAGCAGAGACAGGAGAGACAGCAGAATCGGGTGACACCACGGCTCGTTACTTACATTGCAAAGGTTCCCCGTTTACCATCCACTGGACGGTGGGCTTGGGGTTCCCATTGGCTCGACACACCAGTCTCCCGTCCTCGCCAGGAGCCAGGATAAGGTTCTTGGGTTCGTCCAGCCAGTAGGGAGCAGCTGGAAGACAAACACAGTGCAGGCAGGGGGGTTAGACGGCATGGGGCAGGCCAAAGACACCAGACCGGCTCCCTCTAGGAAGGCAGGAGCCCCTGGGTGCCAGCTCCAGGCCCTCACCACCTGCCCAGGGCTCATCCTCATGGGATGACTCAGTCCAGCCTGCCTTTGGCTGGCTTGGAGCCACAGATGCCACCCGGTCTATTTTGAGTTCACAGAACAATAGTTCTAAACTGGGGCCGCTCGTTAGAATCCTCTGAAGAGCTTTTAACAAACACGGACACTGGGGCCTGTCGGAGACCTATTAAGTCAGAATCCTCAGGGGAGGAGGCTGGGGCAGCAAATGCTTTTAGAGCCCCACAGGTGTTCATGATGTGCACCCAAGGGCTCGAGCCAGGGAAGGTGGTCAAGTGCGCACGGGGCTGGCCCCTCTGGGTTTCTATGGCTATCGCTGCAAGATCTGACCATTTAGAAAATACCTCGTATTTATTCTTTTAGACACTGGGCTCTGGTTAGGGCAGAGCTGGCTAGCCCTTCTAATTGTGGACATGTGGACTTTTTTCTGAGAAGTTCCTTTGCATCGGATTGTCAAAGATCTTGATGCCCCCAACAAGGTCAAGAACCCTCAGTCCGAGTGTCATGCTGAGACCAAAGTCACAGGATCAGCTGACCGCATGCTACGGAAGTTCTTGTACTATTGGCATCAGACCTCACCGTCCCCACCGTCCTTTCGGCCCCAGGCTGAGAGGCGACTGGTGCACCCTACCCACCTGTGGCGGGGACCCAGAAAGGCACGTGCTTCACTGCCCGCGATAGCTCATGGGGGCCATCCGCGCTCGGGGGAGAGGGAAGTGATTTTTTTTTAAAAAACAATTTGGGTCGTGATAATTCCCCATTTGTAAAAAGAACCACACACAAGTACACAGACAGCACAGGGCCAAAACAACACGCCATGAATTAAAATGCAAAAGTAAATAAAGACAAGGCTCTGGGTGAAATCCACATGGACCACGGAGGTACATTCTTGTGGAGGGAGCCCTGGGCACAACAGAGAGGTGGGTGATGGTCAGGGTGGGTCTCTTTCCCTTAGTACCCACCGTGCACGCACACACACACACACTCTCTCTCTCTCTCTCTCTCTCTCTCTCTCACATCCACGGGGTGACACCATCCCTGGCAGGTCACTTACCACGAACCAGAGTGTTGCTGGGTCTCCCCTGCTCACCCGGCCGCCCCCCAGAGGGAAGGGTGGTCGTGGCATGTAGGGCTGGCAAAATCAGCATAATGAGAAATACACACAACGTACCCTTTACTCTCACCGAGATCGTGTGCCGGATGCTGCCCATCTTGTTGGAGGCCAGGCAGAAATACTCTCCAGAGTCCTCCTCGGAGACGTTGGTGATGCGCAGAGCCTTGTTAAAGTTCTCAAACTTGGCCTTGTCTGATGGGAGGTCCCCACCTTTCTTGTACCACGCGATATCTGGTGTTGGGCTGGGAGAGGGACCAAGCGGGAAACACGGACTCATCACCAGCTGCGGCCCTGCTGTTCTTCTACAGAGTCTGGGACACCCAGGTGACCTTAAAGTGGACTTGGGCCCAGAAGGACGCGTGTCCTATGAGAGCCGACCTCTCCCATACAGAGGGGACGCTCGGCCGCAGAGCACTGAGGGACTTACGTAAAGTCACGTGAGGTTCTAACACACGTCCAGGATGCCTACCCATCTCCCTTCCCCATTACCCATGAAGGAAACAGCCAGAACGGGATGGAGAGGACGATGTTTTGCCCCCCAAACCGTGGCAAGAACAGAGCGTGCACAAACCCCCACCCGCGTCCTCCCGGAGGGTGGCCAGAGGTGGGGGTGCGAGCTGTACGTACACCCCGGAGGCGATGCACTCCAGCACGAGGTCCATGCCACGCAGTACCATCTGACTGCTTGCCGTGCCCTGGGGGTACATGAAGCTGGGGGTCCTTTCTGCAACTCCTCGGGCTGAAACAGGATAGAAGGAGCTCTCATGAGCCTCCTGCCCAGAGGGTGGACCCAGCTAGGCCAAAGCGGTCAGGCTAGAAAGAAGTGTCATCACGCCCCCTGCTTACTCCCTTACCCTCAGAGGCACCAAGCCCCGGACCCTCCCAGCTGAACCACCCCCCCCCCCC